TGTATTCCAACAGATCCAGCCCACGAGCAAGATCTCCCTGCTCAACCTGAACTCCCTGGCGCCTGGAAAGCCCGTGGAATGCGAGATCAAGAACGGCGACAAGGTCGACAAGATCACCCTGAATCACACCCTGAACGACCTGCAGATCGGCTGGTTCAAGGCTGGCAGCGCACTTAACCGCATGAAGGAGCTGGCCCAGTAAATGGTCCTACTTAAGACCCTTTGTCCAGAACCCTTTCCTAGCCCCCTTCTCCCAGTAGGCGAACACACTCAGACTCACAACGCAAGCAATCAAGTTATGGTATTGTTATTCAATTTTTTTCAAATTGTTTATATTTTATTTTGAGTATTTGAGTGTGCTATTTTAAAAGTGAATTATGTAACCGAATGATGGCGAGAATTTGTAAGAGTTTTATATATATAATTATACACAATATTATTTTAATTCTTGCTATGAATGTTTCCTTCGATTTTGTTATTTTCGAATTTGTCTAAATGCTCTGCAGATTGCCTCGACGATGAAGATGATTAAGTGCGAATAAAACTCAAAGTACTACGTATTAAACCAAATCTTTTATTCAATAAACAACAAACCAGAAAAGCGGACAATAAGTTCCCTCAATATATCCCATGTCCTCTTTATTTTCCCCATTAATAACTTAATTGTATCAATTATAAGATGTAAGACACAACAGTGAGTTGATATTATTATTATGTAGTGGAAAATAAAGCATAATATCAATAGCCGAAGTTGTTTTGGTCAAAATGGGAAATATGAAAATTGTAGGAGAGAAAAATTAAATGGCTTGAATTTAATTGTCAAAACCAGAAACTCAATTTAAAAAATCGAATCAGCTTGTAAAATTTGTAGTTAATTAAATCTCAAGTAGCCATAATGAAAAGAAAAGGAAGGAAAATCTCCGTTGCTTCCAGCACGGACTTCTTTTCCCACTCCGAGAAGCCTTCTTTGGGAAGAAGTAGAGCCTTACTGCTGGCCAAACTGAAGAGGGAGGAACGAAGTAAGACGTCCTTTGACTCGACCACGGGATACTATTCCTACACTGATGAGACCTCCTTGAGAAGGGCCCCAATCACCTTCTCACCCAGTCCGAAGTTCATGCAAAACGCCAAGGTACAATTAAAGTTAATCGCCCTATATGAGGACCACGAGTGCTTGTGGAATCAGTGTCACCAGGATTTTTTCAACTTCGAGCGCAAGGATCAAATCTGGGAGGCGATCGCCAACGAAATGAAACTGGACTCGCCCCCCGAGTTTTGGAAACATTTGATCCACAGGCTGCGCTACAATGTGGAACTGGAGCGTATCCAAGAGCAGGAGGCGAGGTTTTCGGGCGGAACTGTGCAACCCAAACTATACTATACGGATAAACTCGTGTTCTTAAATCACATGTTTAACAGAGAAAAAAGAATTACGCCTAAGGAGGTGGTAAGTTAATTGTTAATAGTTAAAAACACAGTATAGTGGTTATGTCTATCAAAACTAAATAATGGTTTAGTATCTTACATTGCATTTTATTTGTTACATTTAATATGGTATCATTCACCTTTTAAGTGTATAAGTCTTGTGTTTCTTTATTTTTTCCCCCCCAAAGTAAATTATTTTCTTTTCTTCAATTAGCCTATGCCAGTCAAGCCTTTGGGAGTTACTATCGAAAACCAATCTTCAAGAAACCTGCGTACAGTTCGAGAAAAACCAAAATCTCGTACGCCCATCACCGAAAAACTGGCCTCCCTCGAGAAGTTGAGAAACAACCAAAGCAGCAAGTTGGTTCTGTCCCGAGAAGCCTTTCAAAAAATGCAAAAGGTCACCAGTGGAGGACCTTACTTTTTAACCAAGACAAAGAATAAATCCTAGGATTAGGTTATCGAAAGGACTAACTAAAGACCATGCAACACAAAGACTTAAATCAATTTTTCGTTTTATTACATTTCTTGTATCATAATCGGTTTGTTTTTTCTGGTTTTGCCATTTTTTAAATATAGACGTTTTATATAACAATTCATAATTTTAGCTTACAATATTTTTGTTTCGTATTCTTACAATCTTTTTTTTATGCCTTTTGCCACGAAAACATATGCTCTCTTGCAAATATACAACTTTCAGAACTTGAGTTTGCAATTATTTAATATCTGTATGTATATAATATATATATTTTATGTATATAACTAAAAATGCGTTATTAATTAATTGTTTTTGTTTGTTACGTGGTTTGTGGGCACATTCCTTTTCACAAAAGGAACAAAACATGAAAATGTACATAAGTATTATTGGCAAATAGTTTGCCATCTGTGTTAGATCTCGATTCGCTTAATTCCGCATTAATTACAAACACACACACACACATGTATCATCGATATTATGAACCTGAATTGTTTTCAATTTTTGAAGCGGCAGTCCCAGTTCTGTATTTGCGCCTCCTAAATTGCTCGTTTTACGTGTCTCTCTAAAAGGCAGGAGCAGCTGCGATGGCCTCAAAGGGCTAGGATCGATCCATCCGCCGTTCGATCGTTATACCAACTGACCGACCGACCGATCGGCCATTGTCCTATCGAGCGCCCGCCGCTTATTGGTTGGTTGATTATTGTTTGTCTCATCTACTTCTATGAAATGGCTGCTGAAAGTTTTGGTTTGAACGCATCATTCCCACTCGGTGGTGCCCGGCGGCTTGGCTGTCAAGTCGTAAAGCACCCTCGAGATTCCATCCAGCTTGGATATGTCTTGCACGATTTGATTTAGGACCTTTAAATGGAAGAGCAATCAATATACGTTTTACAAACAGTTGCGTAATGTACTTACTTGCACTGGCAGTTGCACGGATCCGGGTTCAGCTGGCACACCAGTCATAAAGTCGTTCGTTATGAACGGGCGCAGCACCACCGATCTTCTGCAGGAAGGTGTGCGGTTAATGGGATCGCGATCAAAGTGCACGGGTATGAGAACGACAGGCATCTGTGAGATTTTCCGATACAGTCCAGCTTGCATTATTATCTGAAATGGGTATAACATTTAATAAAACTTCTTTTAGCGTACCCTATATAAACCTACATCGTTGGCGATGGCATCCGCCTGCCTTAACTGCATTAGTACAGCTGAGCCTAGTGTGGTGAGCGTGATATCCGTTACCAGATACTGCACTGGATCGCCGAAGATGTAGCACACCCTGTTCACGTTGTGCAGGATGCGCGGTATGATTTTGGCGAGGAAGAGAAGGTCCTGCCAATTGGGCTCCTGACTCGTGGACAGGCCTACAACGTAACTGTATGACCGCTTGTCGCCCTGCACGCCTACGGAACGGATGGGCAACAGGGTGGCCTGGATCTGCGAGTTGGCGGAGATTCGCAGCAAGTCCTTCTGCTCCGCCTCGCTGGTGGCGCCCGTTACCCGGTTGATCAGAGCATGATTCTTCTGCAGCTTGTTTTTGTAGTCCACGATCACGCGGGCAATCACCTGTTATGTATTAACCAATTTATTAAACGCAACTAGGAAGTAATTGCAGTAAACATGCCTGAGTCTCAGAGTAGTCCTTCTCCATGTACGGCTCCTCCGCGCAGAGAACGCGGATCGCCAGGCCCGGACCGGGGAAAGGCTGCCTCTCCACAAGCTCCGGCGGCAGACCCAGATCATTGCCCAGATCGCGCACCTCATCCTTGTGGAAGTCACACAGTGGCTCAACAACACGTCCCGCATTGCGAAGCTCTCTGAAACATTGAGAAAATTAGTAAATCGGAAATATTTAGTCGTGATTTTATCAAATCAATCTGTAAGAGAGAAAGAGTAAAGTGTTATGATCAAATTACCTGATCAAATCCGTGTCATTGTGGTGCGTTTTGATTGTTTCTGCATTCGTGCTGACCATGTTCGAGGCAGACTCGATCAGATCTGGTCGGAGGGTTCCCTGAGCTAGCATAACCTCTTCGGGCTTAAGCTTCAACTCGGCCACCACGTCGTTGGTCACCTTGACGAATATATCACCGATTATCTTGCGCTTTTCCTCCGGATTGTAAGTCTGACAGAGCATGGGCGTCTCCACGACGGAGTACTGGCCGGGCCTTTTGACCTGCGTGGTACCTTTAAGGAACGTGAAGCCTTCCTTGCGCACAATCAAATCGATGCCAATATCGCGCAGAGAACGTTCCACCTTTTCACTTTCTTTCTCGCGCATGAAACCTATGTGTAGAACACAAATTTTTTAATATCAATGTGTAGTTAAAAGATATATACTATTTTAAAAGAGGCCTCAACATCAAAAGATTGGATTTAAAGTATTTTCAAGGGCTGAGTGATCTTAAAATTGAAAAAAAATGTTATACTTTTATAAGTTCAACATAGGCTTTTTCATGACAAGCATATTCTGCTTAAAAAAACCTTATTTAATATAATGTTATATTCTTATGATGGATTTCATTTGGTCTCTTATCTCTTGTATTTCATACCATTATCTACATGCACGGCAATTATCTGATTAGGATACAGGGCACGGCGAAGCAAAGCTGCACACACACTCGAATCCACGCCGCCACTGACCAGCAGCTGTAAAATGTAGGTATCATTAAAACATGCTAGACTTTGCTAGGCAAAAATATTTCCAAACTCACCAACACCTTATTGTTGCCCACTTTCTCGCGAATGTAGCGTATGCACTCCTCCTTTCGGCTTCCCATGGTAAAGTTGGGGGTCAGTTCGCAGATCTCGTACAGGAAGTTCGACAGCATTTGTTTGCCATTTATGGTGAGGTCCACCTCTGGGTGGAACTGGACGCCGTAGATGCGGAGTACCTCATTGTAAATGGCCGTCACAATGCGGTTTGTGGACCAGCCACCGATTTTCAGATTCTCGCCCACTCGCTCCACGCTATCGCCGTGGGTTAAAAGCACGGACTGTGTGCGACTAAGGCGACTGTGGGAACAGAAAAGGGTTATGTTAGTAAAAACAAGTCATCCAGGTATGCTAACTCAATAATAAATTTCGGAAGTAGTAAATATGTCTGGCCACGTGTAGATCAGTTCATAGACTGCCCTAAACTGAAATGTTCTTGGCATTAAATTTGATCTGGCAGCATTGTATCAGCGCTTAAATAAACTATATCAATTCAGGCACTTTCTTGTTGCTGCTATTCCCAAATCTCCTGTATTCCTGGCTCACCTGAAAAGCGGGCACGAGGTCTCGATCTCAATGTTCTGTTGGCCATCTTCCCGGACATCCTTCTTGAGCACTGTGCCCCCGAACTCTTTGTTGATCAGCTGCATGCCGTAGCAGATGCCCAGCATGGGTATCTTAAGCTTGAACAGATCGGGATCATAGCTGGGCGCATCCTCTGCGTAGACAGAGTTGGGTCCCCCGGAGATGATGATGCCCCGATAGCCATTGTTACGTATTGTGGCCGCCGGCGTGTCCAGTGGCATAATGTCTGACTCCACAAGCAGTTCGCGAACCTTGCGGTCGATAACCTGAGGGGAAAAATGCATTATATATTTAGTAATTTTAAGCAGAGATTTTCTAGAAGCCTTGAGGATGAGCTCACCTTGCCGTACTGTGCTCCCGCATCGAGTATAACAATCTTATCGTGCCGGAGGCCGTTCTCCGCTGTGCCCAGAAATATGTTCGAGTTCATTTCTTTATCGTTGCAGCACTGCAAAGAGCAAAAATTTGAATGTCAGTCAAGTAATCGCCGAAACAAACACCGAATCTCGACTGGCTGGTGGTGTCGTTTCTGCGGCTTATTTATGCTCCAGTTGTGGCTGCAATTGACTCTAAAGAAACAAGGCTAAAAGCTGGCTAGGAGGTGGGGGGAAACGGGGTTTAGTATTGGGCAATCGCGTGGATTGAGATTCAGGGAGGTACAGAGGGCTCACATACCGGCAATATCTTGTGGAGCACTCGCAGAAACATTCAACATGCAGCTGGCCAGGACGCTCTACGATAGACAACAAACATTGGCAAAGATTTTTCGTCACAGAGAGGTGAAATGTGCAGTGTGGAAGGAAAACTCCAATGCGAAAACTCAAAGCGAAGAAAAAACAAGGCCAAAGAGGCGACGCCTACGAAAAATGATTTGCGGTGCGGGGTGGCGATTCTGATTTATATACCCTTTCTAGGGGTAATTTTTATTGGGATTTTACTAGCACGTTTTATTTTTGGTTCAAATCAGGCGACTATTTAAAAATCGTTAATGTAATGTTTAGATAACGTCGAAAATATGCCTTAAATGGTCATTTTTTTGTTAATATTAATATGGAATTTAGATTTAAGGAGTGAAGATTGCATTTTTATGAGATTACTACAAATAGAGTTACCATTTCATTGATTTATTGTTGTTTTTTTTATTGTCTTTTTATAATAAATATATTTCCTTAATTTTTTTAACCTTTATAATTGTGAAAACTTCAAAATAACAATTGTGCTTGTCTCAGATAGTGTTCGGATGTAGTTACATTGTACTTATAGAAGGAGTCGTAAATGTATGGTTAGATACCATCACAAATCTGCTTAGAAATACATTATTTTGTAAATTTGAATAATAATTTTGTTATTTTGCTTGCCATGTTTAGATTTAAAGATTAAAACTAGAATTGTAATGATACATCTACAGACCAGAGTTACTATTGCATAATTTATTTTTGTTTTTTTTTTATAATAAATGTATCTAAAACACCTTAATTTTGAAGTCTAGAATAACAACTGATAATGTTTTGGATGTGGAAGGGATCTTTTATTGAAAGACATTTTAGCGATAATCCAGTTGAATAATACTCTATTACCAACTGAAAGGGAATACAACGTTCGGATCTCCGAAATTATCGACGATTTTCTTATATTAAGAATACAAATTTGGGTGCAAGATGATGAGGATGTGAGGAGGAAGCGGAACGTAATGGGATGTGGGGAGGGGGCGCCGGCTACTGACCGCCAGATGACGGGCCAAAATCCAAAAAAGAGAGTGAGAGCGGAAGCAAGACAGAGAGCAAAAGATGAGAGAAGAGAAATGGCAGGTAAACGAAAACAGAGAAACATAGCTGTAAAGGAAAATGCGCAAGGAAAATGGCACAAAAATAAACAATAAAAAGAAATGTCAGGAGACAAATTAGCAGTGGCAACTCTGCTAGTTTTCTTTTGTTTTTCATATGTATTTTTTCGTTTTCTGCAGCAGCAACAGCAAAAAGAAAGCCAACTCCAGGGGTTAAAAGTGCATTAGGTCACTGATGCGTTGCGATGCGAAGCCTGTGATGTAAGCCCTGTTCTTCTTTGGGCTCTCTCCTCTTTTTTTTTGATAACACAAAGCAAAAGGTTATCAGAAACAAAAACGTCACGAAAAACAACAACAAAAGTGGGAGGCCGCGTGCTTGTAACTTAATACCCATTCAGCAACCACACACGCGAGCACACACCAACACACGTGGAGCCGCCTACAAGCGGCGCTTATAACCACAAAATGGCCACGAGAAATGTTTTTCAAAATATATACAAAATAGCAAATGGACGGAAAAAAAATGAAAAAAATGCCAAATGCGTTTGAAGCAGATTGCAAATGCAACGGGCGGCGAAGGGGGTGGTGGGTGGTGCGCTGACTTGTGGGTGGAGCTGTGCCGCATGGCGATTTGGTTGGGAATGGCAGATCTTCAGCCATATATGTAGCCTCTCACCTGCTCGTCGTGTTGGCCTGGCAGGCGGTTTTTCCAGGGGGGCGGAATGTCCGTGGGCAAGGCCGTGGAAAACCGTGGCAAGCAGCGGAAAACTTAATGCTGAAGTACTAGGTTCGCGATCCGTTGTTAGCGGTACCCCGTTCGCCTCTCGACGTCGCACTCTTTGCCAAATTTCTTTGGCTGCTGCAGCTGCTTTTCCGCGTTTCCACGGCTGCTCGACACCGCTGGCAAAGTGTTCACTACGATTTTCACGGCTGCAACTTGGCTGCGTTCGACTGGCAGCTTCTAGGCACTTTCCTTTGGCTTTTCTTTGCAATTTTTTCGTGAATTAAAGCCGAAAGATGACTTATTGACGAGCGTATGACCGTAACTTGGAGGGCGATAGAATCCGCCCGTTTGCGGCAAAGGAAAAATACTAAATGCGCGTGAAGTAGGTAATTTTTGGGGATAAATACAAACGCGATATATCGTTTGACTCTGATGGCTCGAGAACGGTGTCATTTCAATCAGATTTTTATAATAACTAATTTAATAATTGAATGGACAAATATTCGTATACTTGTATGTTATTTTCACAAATGTTAGTACTGGAATAAGTGGATAATTACCTATAACCAAATTACTCATGACTATATTATAGGGTGTTACTGTTGAAATTATACTTTTACATATTACAGATAACAATTGAACAACAAATAAATGGTAAAATACTATCGCTTAAAACTCAAAATAAAGTTCTGCAATAGCCACCTCCAAACGGTCAGTGTTGGTTAACAGCCACAATAAACACTTTTATTAATTACACACTTACGGTCACACTAAGCCCGCCAAAAGTGATTTGTTTTTCCGCTCATTTAGAAAACTCGACGGGAAAACCAAGGAAACACGTGAAAATCTCAAGAAAAACTGGATGAAATGAGTCCCGCAAATAAATCCCAGACAGACATCAGTATCGACGATGAAGAGGAAGTACTGGCACTGGAAAAACTGCTGGGCGAAGCGGAAAACGTTAATGTCGATTCTGCAAAATCGGAGAAACCAAAACCCACTTTGGCCAATGCAGTGCCAAAGCTGCGGGAAGACAGTAGCTTCGCCAATGCGTTCACCTTCGAGAAGACCGTGAAACCCGCCAAGCAGGAGAAGAGCGCGATCAGTAAAGAACCAGAGCTGGATTCATCCGACGATGAGGAGGTCAAGAACTTCCTGGAACGCAAGTACAACGAGTACGGCAGTGATATAAACCAGAACCTGAAACAGCAGCGGCAGAATGCCCACGAGTCAAAGGTGTCCCGGGAGGTGGATAAGGAGCTGAAAAAGACCACCCAAATGGTCACTTCCACGCCGCAGCCCCTCAAGAACCCGCACAATCCTATCAAGCGCCAATCGACCGTGAGCAGCACGTTCCAAAGGCCTCCGCCAGCTGCCGCCGCCGTGGCATCCACATCCCACCCCAGTGCTCCCGTCTCCGCTGTTTACACAGATCCTGTTTTTGGACTGCGCATGATTAACCCCCTGATCTCCAGCTCACTGCTTCAAGAGCGCATGGCGGGCAGAAAAGCGGTGCCCTTCTCCGGCGTTGCCTTCCACATCGAGCGAGGTGATCTGGCCAAAGATTGGGTCATTGCCGGCGCTCTGGTCTCCAAGAATCCTGTTAAGACTACCAAGAAGGGGGATCCATACTCAACGTGGAAGCTATCCGATCTCCGAGGCGAGGTCAAAACAATCACACTTTTCCTCTTCAATGAAGCCCACAAGTCCCTGTGGAAAACAGCGGAGGGCTTGTGTCTGGCTGTCTTGAATCCAACAATTTTTGAGAGGAGAGCGGGTAGCTCCGATGTGGCCTGTCTAACCATTGATAGCTCCCAGAAAGTCATGATCCTGGGCCAGTCTAAAGATCTTGGCACTTGTCGGGCTACCAAGAAGAATGGAGACAAGTGCACTTCGGTGGTTAATCTAACCGACTGCGACTATTGCATTTTCCATGTGAAGCAAGAATATGGAAAGATGTCCCGGCGATCGGAGCTCCAATCGGCGACAGCAGGTCGGGGTATCAATGAGCTAAGGAACAAGGTTCTGGGTAAGAGGCTTTAAAATCCTAACACAGGATCATAATTCTAGTCACTCAATCACTTTATTTTTAGGCAAAAACGAGGTCTTCTATGGCGGACAAACCTTTACTGCAGTTCCCGCGAAAAAAAGTGCCAAGCTGATTTCCAAGGAACGCGATCGTCTGAGCTCGCTGGCTGGCTATGATGTTTCGCCCTTTGCACATACCGTTGATCACGCCTCTAAGCCCAAAACAGCCGAGGCCCCTATAATTCCATATGCCGAGCGAGGTGGTCCTGTTTCCCGTTTGGCTGGTGGTGTGGAGGCTTCTAGGAAACAGAGGGTCCAGGATCTGGAGCGATTGCGAAAGCTTAAAGCGGAAAATGAGCGTTTTGAGAAGCAAAAGCAGGCCCAGGGTCATGTTTTAG